TATTGAAAGTCGAATACTGATCATCGCAGGCAAACCCAGACCTGTTTGAGAGGACGCTCATGGAGGTTTCAACTCCCAGCCACCCCCGCTACGGCCAGCACCTTAAGCGAGACGAACTGAAGGATCTCATCAAGCCAAGAGCCGACTCAACTACAAATGTGCTTAACTGGCTCGAGCAATCCGGCGTCGAGCCTCGAGACATCCAGAATGACGGCGAATGGATCAACTTCCTCGCTCCTGTGAAGCGCGCAGAACAGATGATGGGCACCACGTTCAAGACCTACCAGAGCCAGGCACGCCCTGGAGTCAAGAGGACTCGTTCGTTGGGCTACTCTGTCCCCGTGGAGGTTCGCAGCCACATTGATATGATCCAACCTACTACTCGCTTCGGTCAAATGCGCGCCGAAGATAGCCAAGTCCTCACACAGGAAATTGCGCCTTTCTCCAAGCTTGCTGCTGTTAATGCCACGTGTAACACAAGGATCACGCCTGATTGCCTCGCAGACCTTTACAACTTCCAGGACTATGACGTTAGCGACCAGGCCAACGTAACGATCGGAGTGAGCGGGTTCCTTGAGCAATACGCTCGTTTCAACGATCTCGACCTGTTCACACAGAGGTTTTCTCAAGGTCTCGCTGGTAAAAGCTTTGGGGTACAGTCTGTCAACGATGGACCATTTCCCCAGAACTCATCCGCCAATAGCGTCGAGGCCAATCTCGACATCCAGTACACAGCCGGCCTGGTGAACATATCAACCACGTTTTACACTGTTCCAGGACGAGGACTGTTGGTTCCTGATCTTGATCAGCCCGATGAGGACGACAACAATAATGAGCCCTACTTGGATTTCTTCACTTACCTCGTGGGTCTGGAGGACGAAGAGCTGCCCCAAGTACTAACCACTTCGTACGGTGAGACGGAGCAAAGCGTCCCTGCCGAGTACGCCAAGAAGGTCTGCGATATGATCGGTCAGCTCGGTACTCGTGGCGTCTCAGTCATCTTCTGTAAGTATTCGTTCGAGCTTGGAGGCGAAAATGCCCCCAGACCTCATCAGCCACGATGTCTGGGGGTAGTGTCGTCTCTGAGCTCAGTTCCCACTCAAAGCTTCCATCGATATAAACCTGAGTGCTAACAATACTCAGCCAGCGGTGATACTGGTCCAGGCTCTGCTTGCCAGACCAATGACGGCAAAAACACGACCCGTCTTCAGCCAATCTTTCCCGCCTCATGCCCCTACGTCACCTCCGTAGGTGGCACTCGCGGAGTAGAGCCTGAGCGTGCTGTTGATTTCTCTTCTGGTGGTTTCTCTGATCTGTGGCCTCGCCCAGCATACCAAGAGAAGGCTGTCTCCGACTATCTCGGCAAGCTCGGGTCTCAATGGGAAGGCCTTTACAATCCCAACGGCCGTGGATTCCCTGACGTCGCCGCTCAAGGACTAGGTTTCCAGGTAAGTTATACTCCCTGTACGAACTGCATGTGAGACAAATACTGACTTTCCTTCTCTAGGTCGTTGATAAGGGTCGATTGTCGTCTGTCGGAGGAACTAGTGCCTCAGCGCCCGTCTTCGCTTCGGTCGTTGCGCTTCTCAACAACGCTCGGCTGGCGGCCGGCATGCCTTCACTCGGTTTCCTGAACCCTTGGATCTACGAGCAGGGTTACAAGGGTCTGAACGACATTGTCGATGGAGGCTCTCGTGGTTGCACTGGTCGTTCCATCTACTCCGGACTTCCAACCGCACTTGTGCCTTATGCTTCCTGGAATGCAACGGAGGGATGGGATCCTGTGACCGGTTATGGTACACCCGATTTCGAGCAACTGATTCGCCTCGTAACTGCGCCGCAGTACGGTCAGCGCCGCGTTCGTCGTGGAGGCCTCCATGGAGGAGCATAGTGCAAGCAAAGACTTGTGACCTTTTTACCTAGAGATCTCTCCATCAATAGAGCAATTCCTAACATGAAATTGACATCTTGGAGCCTAAATTGACGCAAGATTTTACAGTTTGCTTGCTTTATTTCAGTGTAGTCGATATGAAAACGCGCCCCTCAGTGACGATGGCGGCTTCTCCGGGTGCGCGACCAATCAGCCACTTGACGCGCGGAAGCCACAACCGATTGTTGCTGACATGCTGACACTCTCACAAACCTTGAACGCACCTCAAGCCTTAGTCCTTCAGACATCATTTCAACAGTCGTTGCTTCAGACCCTTTAGAAGAGACGAGAAAGACCATGTGTTTGACTGACCACATTGTTTTCGTCACAGCGACCCGCCGCAGCATTGGTTTTCGCGAGCTTCCCCATGCGGTTAAAGCGCACAAGACTTATCTGCGCCGAAGAATGACAAGCATCCGCCATGGTGCTTGATCCTTCGACACCTGAATGGGAGCGATTTTCTCGAAGGGCGACTTCAGCCAATCGCGCAGCTCGACCATCCTTTGCCCCAGTACCTGACGACGCGCACTGAGCCTACCGTGGCCCCGGATTGCGGCCAGAGATAAGAGTTGGTGTCGAAAAGCCCGAAGAGATAGTTCCCCGTCCACTATCAAGAAATACGAAGTGGACCTGCCAGTGCTTGAAGGCAGTGGCGGCGTCTTTGGCGGGCCTTGGAGAAGCTTTGCGCCGTTAGCTTCGGTCCACCAGTGTGGTCGTGTGTCTAGTCGCATGCATTCCCCGCCTCTATCGCGGTCGTACCTGGAAAACAGTACCAGCATCATGAGCAATCGCAGCAATGTCGACTACCATCGCGCCATGTTCAAACCTCAACTTACACAACTTCGCGATCGTGCGCATACAACTATACTAGAGTATAACGGAGCTCATGCGCAGGGTCAAGCGTTTGAGTGATTTCGGTGTACTTCGGGGGTAAGCAACAATATGCGACGGAACTTCACGCCTGCCTAATCAGGTAAAGAGCTGGAGCTATGTTCGCCATGAGCTATCTGTGTTTGTGCAGGTACAGGAAGATGTAGGCCGCGTCGCGTGCGTGGTAGACCCGAGGTGACGTCGGTCTGGCGCTCCACGCTTTTACTTCAAGAAGGCTGGACTGCCCGCTCGGTTCCCTCTTCTTCACGGCCATTGATAGTCACAGCACGAGCTTGACTAACGAACAACCCCGGCACTGCGATCGCGAAGCACGTCAAGATGCAGCTTCTTTCACTCCTCGCTGTTGGTGGCCTCACAGCAAGCGTTTCCGCACGAAGCGCTCGCTCTGTCGGCAAGAAGACGGAACTTCCTCGTCCTCGTCTGACTGTCCCCGAGACCAGTCTTCGCCCTCACAAGCGTCAGACCACTCAGATTATCACCACTGAGGCGTCCAAGGGTATGGTAGAAATCTACTCTTCCGCGCCACTAGCTAACAACTCTCAGCATTCGCTGTCAACGGAACTGCGGGAGCGATCCCCGACGTCGACTTCGACATTGGCGAGTCCTACGCTGGTCTTTTGCCCATCAGCGATGCCGCCAACGAGACCTCTGAACTGTACTTCTGGTTCTTCCCATCCGAGAACCCAGACGCAGATGACGAGATTACTATCTGGCTGAACGGTATGAACAGTCACAAGTACATGATCGACTACCTCTAACATATTTCATAGGTGGCCCAGGCTGCTCTTCTCTAGAGGGATTCCTCCAAGAGAATGGTCCCATCTCCTGGCAATACGGCAGCGGCCCAGCAGCTGTATACAACCCCTGGAACTGGGCCAATCTCACCAACATGGTCTGGGTGGAACAGCCCGTAGGAACCGGATTCACCCAAGGAAACGCTACCGCTACCTCCCAGGAAGAAACCGCTGAGGAGTTCCTCGGCTTCTTCAAGAACTTCATCGACACATTCGGTCTGCAGAACCGTAAGGTGTACATCACTGGCGAGTCGTACGCCGGACGCTACGTACCTTACATCGCCGATGCCATGTTGAGCAAGAACGACTCCTGCTACTACGACGTCAAGGGCATCATGTTCTACGACCCCAGTGTGGCCGAGGACGTCCTGCTAGAGGACATCCCAGCTGTCCCCTTCGTCGACCAATGGGCCGGTCTCTTCAACTTCAACCAGACCTTCATGGACGACATCCACAACCGCTCCGAGGCCTGCGGCTACACCGAATACATGGAGAAGTACCTTACTTTCCCTCCTCCCAGCAAGCTCCCGTACCCCGAGAAGGACGCCAAGACTGAAGGCTGCGGGCTGTGGGAAGACATTTACAACGCCGTCTTCTACACCAACCCTTGCTTCGACGTCTACGCCATCGCCACCACCTGCCCTCTCCTCTGGGATGTTCTTGGTTTCCCTGGTTCTTTCGACTACCTCCCTCCCAACACCGAGATCTACTTCAACCGCACCGAAGTCCAAAAGGCCATCAACGCGCCCATCCAGCCATGGGCTGAGTGCTCCAACGGCGTTCTCGACACCGACTCGTCTCCCCAGTCGTCCTGGGAAGTTATCCCCCGCGTCATCGACGCCCTAGACCGCACCGTCATCGCACACGGCGAGCTCGACTACATCCTGCTCTACAACGGTACCCTCATGGCTATCCAGAACATGACTTGGGGCGGCATGCAAGGTTTCCAGAACCCACCTGTCGATGACTTCTACGTTCCTTACCACGACGACTTGAGCCTTACCAGTTTGAGCGCCAAGGGCCTCATGGGCAAGACCATCACCGAGAGGAAGCTCACATATGTTCAGCAAGCTCTGAGTGGACACATGGTACCCCAGTACCAGCCTAGCAGCGCGTACCGCCAGCTTGAGTTCTTGCTTGGACGTATTGAGAGCCTGACCAGCCGGGAGCCTTTCACCACGCTGCCCAAGATCCCGCAGAGCAATGAGACGAGCGTTGTTTCTCGGGATTTGGGAGCCATGGGTGGAGAGTTCAAGAAGTGGTTCTAGACTATTAGTATGCCCGTTTAATGGTATAACGCAATGAACACGATTACGTCATATAACTCATGAAGTATGCGTGATGTCTGCGTAGATTGATTGTTCTACTGTGATATCGAAACAACACTAACCGGCAACGTTCTCAACCACCCTCCGCCCATCTTTACCCAACACCCCTTCTTGTCTCTGCGCCCTCTCCTCCGGCACTTCAGCAAAGATCTTGGTGATGGCCTCAATCGTGGTATTTCCCCCACTGAAGACGACGCCAATGTTCCAGCCCTTGTCCCCAGCCTCCCTCTCAACCATCTTCCTAAAGTCCTCGTTGTACAGTATAGTCGCCAGACCCACGACCGCGCTCGGCTCGACAAAACACTTCATCCTCTCCAACACCAGCTTCATCGCATCTTTGATGTTCTGCTCTGTGACGGCGTAGAGACTATGCACGTAGTCCTTGTTCGAGATAACACCCCATGTATGGTCACCGAGGGGCGTACGCAGGCCATCGGCGATAGTCAGGGTCTTGACGCTGGTAACGCGTTCGCCCTTTTCAACGCCCCTCTTCGCGTCGTCGCCGCCCTGAAAACTGGGTTCTGCGCCGAAGACGCGTACCCCAGTGCCGTGGAGAGCGACTGCGATGCCGCTCAGCATGCCGCCGCCACCACAAGGCGCGATAACAGCGTCGAGCATCTCGCCGCTTCCCAGAAGCTTGCTGACTTGATCCTGTATCTCCAGCGCCATGGTGCCCTGGCCGAGTATGATGTGGGGATGGTCGTAGGGAGGGATCAGGGTAGCGCCTGTGTCCTTGATTACGTCTGCGACGACGGCTTCGCGTTCGGTGCTCGTGGAGCCGGAGAAGTGGATGTTGGCGTCTTGTGACCGCGTGCCTGCTATCTTCGAGGGCGTGGATATGGAGGGCATGACGATGTGTGCGGGTATTGAGAAGGTTCTTGCGGCAAGCGCGAGGGCCTGCGCATGGTTTCCTGTTGATGTCAGTCCTGCCTGCCTGATCTGGTCATAAGTAGACGTACCGCTACTGTGTGTGACTACTCCCTTGCTCTGCACTGCTTCCAATCCGTCCTGCTCGATCAATCGCGTGACGGCATGGAAAGCACCGCGTACTTTGAAGGCGCCGATGCGCTGGAAGTTTTCGCACTTGAAGAAGAGGTTCACCTTGGGCTTAGCGGGCTCTTGGCTTTCCCATTGTGTTCCCTGGAGTGCTTCTGGAGCTTGAGGCGTATTGGCGAGAGTGTTTAGGGTGGTGTTGGTCAAGACGGGCGTGTCATGGATGTGCGGCTTGATGAGGGCGTGGGCGGCTTCGACCGAGGCGCGCGTCAGGGAGGCATGCGGGGCTGAGGAGGACATGGCTGCCACTGAAGAGAGCGGCGATGAGCTGGATGCATCCTGGACAAGACTGTTCAGGATGTGACTCAATGGGGGACCCGGGTACAATGGTGGGGAAGATAGCGCGGAGAGGAAGGCAAGGCAGACAGGGGACGCTCCGCGCGGGTCGCGCCTTCTGGCCAAACACGCGACGGATACTTTTCCGAGTTTCTCATCCACTCTTCCCTGAACGCACCTTTCGACACAGCGACAGCTCGCCCATGTGCAGTAGATATGCGAAGATGCCCTTGCCCCATATTCGCTGTCTCAAGCTGACACCCCAGACAAAGCCTCACCAAGTCGCTGTTTACCACCCCCGCGCCTGCCATATTTGCTATTAGCATTACCAACGTTTCCATCCAAGAAGGACTAAAATGCCGTTCAGGTCGACCTGTCTCTTTCTTCATACTGAGCTATCCAAAGTCACCTTTGGTTTATACCTTATTCGACACCATGATGGGATCCACTTGCAAACCATGGTTCCATGCTGCCATTTCCCATAGTTACGTGACTTCGAATTATGCGATGCTAACAAAAGGAAGATCCTGTTCCTCTGAATCGGACTCTCATATCTACTCGAACAGTTCGGCAATATCTATATCGCACTAAAGGTCGGTGAAACCGGAAGTCCTTGCAATCGGGTCAAGATCACGTCGGTACGCAGCAACCACACACCCAGAAGAGATGAACAGCCAAGTCGACTCCCCACTCGGACAGCTGGTTGAACTGTTCGGAGGACTGACCATGGCAGAGATCGGTTCCCACTCAACTCACACCACCCTTAGTGCACTGGACTCACTACCATCGACTTTACAAATGGACAACGCGCCATCATCAGTTTCCAACGACTTATCAAGCCGACCCATCTCGTCAACCCAGTCCGAAGAGATGACTTCTCCATCGACTACGAATCCGCACCTCCCTAACGAGTTGGTTATCCAGATCCTCCATCACGCTCTTCGTCTCGGCCTCGGCTCATCCGTGCCACGACTACCTGTTTGCGCTGATCGATTTCAGAGCCATATATCTCGCAACGGTCGCTTGGCTAGGTATCTGGTTATATCCAAGTCACTCTATCCCCTCGTTCTAGAGGCTTTTTACCGCGAGAACGAGTTTCGATGCGCCTCAGGCGGGAGAACTCTGAAGGCGTGGATGGAAGATAAGCCTCGGGAAAGTCCTGTCTTGCTGCCCCCGCCACATGCCAGACAGCATATTCGGCGACTGGAGTTGATGATCTCTTTGGAATACTTTAGTCGGGATTTTACCACTTCATACCAATGGCAGACACTTGTCAAGCTTTGTTCTGGGAGGGCCAGACTTACTAGAGTCGAATTCTTGCGCTTGGTGATAAAAGAAGCCCCGGGCATGTATTGTGGAGAACAAACTGTTTTGAACCGACTAAGGGATGAGGGTTTTGTGATTAGGGCGAAGAAAGAGGTGGTCATTGAAGGTTGGTGGCAGGCAGAGCCATTTATCAAGGTGGAGGCTGAGGTCGTGAAATGGATATAACAGTACGTCGCGAGTAGAAGTCTCCCTCACATTATTAGCAGTCATAAGGAACTTCATAAGTCAGCCAGGAGTTCTTTAATGTACTATCAGAGATCAATCATGCACCTAATAATTGAGCCTGAAGACATACGTAGCATTGGGAATCGTCGCATTGAAACGTGTCACAATAGCCAAGAGGTACTCACAGTAATCACAAGCAACATTCACGATGCACAAAAGCATGTTGGAGAAGACAAAGGATCTTATTCTGCACTACATTATGGCAATGACCAAGCCAGGAGACGACAAACCCCACAAACCACCACAAACAGTTCACAAACCTGCCCAGAGTCCGCTCAGCATGGCGCTCCTCAAGTCGGAGAGGCCAGCCTCGATGGTGATATTGAACTCATCACGAGCGCCGATCGAAAAGCGAGCCTGATGGTAGATAGCGACCGCCGCCTCGGAGTCGGGGTTGCTGAAGATGGGAGTGATGTGAAGCTGAATCGTCCTCAGATTCTGCATGGTCATCAGATCAGAGAGCTTCCGCAAGGTGTGGGCACTGCGACAGTGCTTGAAGAGGTCGGCCGTGTTGCGGAAGTATATCCTGTTGTCGAGGATGCGGCCGGGCAGCACAGTCGGCTCTCCTGCGTAGCTGTCGGTGAGGACAAGCTGCACCCGGATGTGGCGGAGGGAGGGGAGGAGGTGGACAGAGGGCATGAGTGGCGCGCGGTGTGATGTCTTGGAGATGAACTCGAAATAGTTTTCTTCATAGAAAACTTGGAGAGCGACCGCCTGGAATTGGCGGGAGACGACGCAGAGCTTGTGCAGTATGCATTTGTGGAGCATCGCAAAGCGGGAGGCGTTGATTGGCCTGCCCCGAGGCGAGACCGAGGAGAAGATGAGGATGTTCATGAGGATCATCTTGAGGATCTCGTTGGGGAGGACAACGCTCGGACGAGGCGCGGGCGTCACCATTGTGATGGTGTTTGGAGAAGACATCGTGCTTGTAGCCGATGTGAGTGGAGGTGATGAGGAAGCGTGTTGTGCTTTGAGGTGTGTGAGAAGGTTTGAAAGTGCTCGGAAAAAGAAGTTTGAAGGCGACTTTGTACTGGAGAAGTGAGGAACTTTCAGGCTGAGGGAACTGAAGGGAGGCGGGGGGAGGCCAGTTTATATAGACAGAGGGAGACCCTCTAGCGTCTCCTTCAGAAGAACGGTACGCCGCTGAAGAAGAGCGAGGAAGTCCGAAGCTTCCTAATTCTGCAGAATGGAAGCATGAAGTCTGCGATGAAACCGGGCCCTTGCCCTATTATATGGCCTCTGATTCGTTCTGGGGCTGTCCATTCTGTGTCCTTCACCGTACTAGTAGCCTTCATATTTGACTAGACGTCTTCTCTGGGCTCCGATTGGCGGCAGAAAGGCTACCGGAGACCTTCTGGCAGTATGAATGCTGCCTTGGCAGTGAATCAATCATTAGTGATGCTTCTTTCAGCGACGATGGAAGAAGAACGAATCGAGTATGTCCAGGACTAGATCTAAAAGGGGTAGGTGGCTTCCTTGGATATCCGTACGAGTCTGGCGAATTAAGACACCTAGACGACGGCGTGGCTCTGATGGTACCAAGTGAAAGGGTGAGGGCAACAATGGTGTGAGGCCGAAGCAATCGCTGAGGTAGAGGAGCCTTCCAAAGATTAGAAAACTGACTTCCAGGAGGCTGCACATGTCGATAAAGCTGTGTCATCCTGCAAGAAGAGTCCGAGTAGCGTCTGATTCCTTCAGTCTTGCTTTGCTTGCGGTGGAAGTGTCATGAAGCTGGCTGGAGACAGCTATGGCGTTCGTTTGTCAGGTTGTTCTTTGCGTTGCACAGCTGGCTGCGTCCGCGGGGAAGCTGCTACCAAACACCGACCACCAGTATCAACACCGGAATCTTGGAGCACCCCCAGTTGACAAAGCGACAGCACAGGAAGTGAGCCGTACCCATCGCATACTTCTCACGAGACGAACCAGACCTTGCCCACAGTCGTTGCCGATGCAAGCTGCCGCGCCTGCTCCTCTCGAACCCCGACGACCCTCCCCCCTCTTCTCCACAACGGCGGCGACAACGAGTTGAAGGAACTTGGACGAGATGACAAGAAGAAGACTGTCCGAACAACTGCACTGTGCAAGATAGGCCAGGTTACGAGACAAGAGTGGTGACTCCATGGCAAGAAAACTCTTCAGCTTCGGCGCAGGAAGGTATCGCAACAAGCCAACGAGGAGGGACATGCAAATTGGCTGCAGAAGACAGCGCGACGGCAGCATGAAGGCGCCACTTCAATGCTCGTCGAAAAGAGATCCAGAGAGCAGGCCGGGCACGGGCGATACCAGGACACCATGTAGGCAAACCTCGGCGGAGAAGAGCCATGTGGACCTGGAGATACATTAGTCGGTGGTCACAGAGGACGAAATTTGGCAAATCACGTTAGAATCATGGCAATAGTATCAGAGACAACAGGTCGCAGTTGCCACGCTGCGCAGCAGGACACACATCAGCGGAGGGGAAAGTCGAGGTCCAGGACGAGTGAGCGCATGGATGCATGGGCGCATGGCACGCATACGAACAAGCTCGTGGTTTGCGAACCGTACCTCGAACGTACCCCAGGACATACACTGCTACATCGCCCGTAGAGCGCATAATTTTAGGGTAAGTTTCGGTATCAGGATCGCGACACGTTGAGAACGAGCTTGTTCGTACTGTCGTGTGTCGAAATACCGTGAGAGGGACCTGTAAATATATTAGTTGACGTCAATGAGTGCAAATTTCACAGGTCAATAGCAAGGCATAGAGGCAAGGTTTTGGTGTAGGAAAGATGGAGGTCCTAGGCAGCTGGGCAAGATTGAACTTCCGCCTTGGTCTGTGCGCGCTAGCATGGTCATCTCCGTCGCCGGCCATGATCGCTCCCAGTCATCTCCTGCAACCTTGGCAATTGCACACCGCTTTCCATGCGCGAAATCGACAATACATTGTGATATGCTATGACCAAGAGGTCCCATGCCAACATAGCCTCCTCGCAAGCAGAGCCTCCAGAGCGGCAGACGTCGTACGATGGGGAGCGTAGCGGAAGCCACGATGACGGGGATGGCTCGTCGCTGAAGAAGCCGCGATCGTTCATGGCGACCTTGGTATGTGGTCAGGAAATGACATGCACTGCTCTGCTGACTAGAGAAGGCTTGCGACATCTGCAGATCGAGGAAGACGCGCTGTGATGAAGATCGGCCAAGATGCGGCTACTGTAGGAACATGAACTTGGAGTGCACGTATCAGGCACCACGCAGTACGAAGAAAGACCAGTCATTGACTTTGGCAATCAATGCTATCCGAAGACTGGAAGCAAAGATCGAAGACCTGACAACAGCGATCAATACACCAAAGCCGTCGTCTACATTACCACTTTCACCGGCAGGGCCTATCAACGACCATCAGTCACCTCATACCATCTTCTCACAACCAAGTCCAGGATATCACGTCTCAGCGATGCCCTCTCACTACTCTCATAATGGCAGGCTAAGCATACACGAGTTAGCAATGTCGCCACAAGTCGTGGGATCTCCCGCCAAAAGTCCTTTCCCGGTGATGGAAGTCCAAGGCGCAGTAAATCTTTCCTTCAGCCAACATCGTGTCGCGCTCTGGCCGGCCATACAGCAAATACTTCCTAGCGGTTTCGTCACTGTCCGAGCAGAGCTTCCAGAGGACTA